GTTAGTTAGTTAGTTACGTAGTACGTACTACTAACTAAACTAACGTACGTTCGTTTTCGTTTTTAGTTCGTCGTCACACACTATTGTAGTTAGTAGTACTCCTCTCTCTCTCTCTCTCTCTCTCTCTCTCTCTCTCTCTCTAAATGCACTCATAAAGCAGGCAATTAGTTGTCAAACCATACTGCCATTGGATCTACAATGAAAGGCTGCTTGTTGAAGCGAGCTCTATGGCCAAGAACATAGAATATACAGGATCTGGATCTGTTTGCTACCTGAATACCCTCACTTTCATACATGTCACTCCTGTGTGAACTGCTCATATATTCTAGTAAAAATCTAAATATCATTTTTACTGCTTTGCGTTCTGTTTGATATTTCCACTCAGTCGTGGGAAACGAAAATCTAGTGAGTAAATGTTTCCTCAGTGTTATATGGACACGGACATAGGAGTCGTGTTTTGAGCGTGTAGTTTTTAGTAAAAAAAACCATGTATGGCCTCGACACATCCGTGAAACCATACTTCTAGAAAACTACATTTGTGGCATTTGTAGGACTTCAAATATTGTATATAGCCTCTTTTCATCCAAATAATCAATCTTCTAAAAAGTAGAATTCATCTTACATTTTTGGCATCTTTAAAATGAGTTTCCCGTCAATAATGAATTTAGATTCCAATTAGTGAATTTCAAGATCTAGATCTTTACGAATTCAAAATCAATTTTTTCTTTTTCAACATTGTTCATTTAATAATATAAAAAGGTTGAGCTAAAAAAATTCATTTTAAGGTTTAGATTTAAGCATCTTATCAAAATGGACGATCTATATTAATTGAGATAAAAAAATATTTTCTATAGTATGTTTTGAAATTTTTATTTTTTATGATTATTTTTAAAAAGGAAAAAATTTATTTAAGGTTGTAACCTTAAAATGTAAAATTATAGATGCATCGCAAAAATCTATCATAAAGGTTTTAATGTTGAAAAACCATCTAATTGATCATCTTTACATTGAGATGTATGAACATGACAAAAAAAATGTTTTTGAGTCTTAGAAATATTGCATCTTGCAACACATTATCTAGACCGTTAATTTTCAAGATTTTCATATGTTTATAGATCTATTTGATTTTAACCTTTTTTTAAGTTAAAAACTATCTAATTAGATATGAAAATAGATTTTAACATAATCTTAAGAATATTTTAAACAAATTTATATGTTATGATAAAATTTGGAGGTGCGCCTTAATTGGATTGTTTAAGGTTGCAACCTTATAGAAACCATACCCTTATAAAAATAAAGAGTCAAACAAGGTTTTTAAATATTTTTTCATTATATTATAATACAACTGTTGCATGAAATCACTCCCCATTATATTTTGTCTTAAAAACGTTTAGAGGCGAATTGCTATTATGTTTCGCTCTCATCACAGTTATGCTATGTTCGGGACGGTTTTGCTTAAATCCTCATTTTTCCAACGGGAGCCGTGGCGGTTGTATATTTTTTGCATCAATTTTGCGTAAAACACTCTCATCACGGATATGTTAAATTCGTGACCGACCGCCACAGACATGCTATATTTGTGACAGTCTTTAATCCACGTCATCTAAAGAAATTGGAAGGTGTCGAGCCAATAGGTAAAAATACTGTTCATTTTTGCCCATAGACATTTTGTAGTCTAAATATAAAAAAAGGACCCAGTTTTTATGTGGCTAAGCCCACATATGTAGAAATGCGAGCCTCATTGAATCGGGGCCGATTTGATTATCACGACCTCATTTTATATTTGAATTTTATTTTTTTCTACAAATCCAAAGCACATGAAATTTTAAGTATTCATTCTTCTCATCATGGTGCACCTAATAAAAATATAAAAAAAATAATTCACGAAATCTAAATAGATCAAAATACCCTTGAAACATTTCAAAGGTATTTCGATAAAAAAATTATAAATTATTTTTTTAATATTTTCTTATACCCTTGAAACATTTCAGGGGTATTTTGATCAATTTATTTCTTGTAAATTATTCTTTTGATATTTTTATTAGATTATCCTATTTTTAAAGAACACACACCTAAAATTTCAAGTTATTTAGATTCATAGAAAAAATCTAAAATTAAAATACAAAATGAGGTCGTGACTGTCAGATCGGCCCAAATTCAATCTGAGCCATTGGCTCACATGAACTCATATGTTCATATGAGCTATTGGGCTAATCTCAAC